ACACACAACTATCCATTTCAGTTGTACTATTCCGATAGTATCGAATCCGTTGTGATTTACAGTACACTATACAACAAATCTTCGTTACAGACATTGGTGTCGGTCGTCCTATGATAAGTGCCCTGGCAGTAGGGAGGGCATTGTGATGAATATTATGCTATGTACAATCGCAACTCCGATCTATCGCGCTGACAACTACTGCTGGCGATGCTGGGAATGCTGGAGATGCTGACGATGTTGACAATACTGGTGATGCCGGCGGCACATATGAATGAGCATTGGTTTCATCCAACTCCGACATTTGACTAATGTGGCGCTTTTAATTTCTCCGAAACTTCTTTCACTAAGAAAAAGTTACCATGATCAACAGATGTATCACGATGCCCACTCGCATAACTGACCGACACAGCGAATGCGTGTTGTTGTTGGTGCAAAGCATCAAGACATCTTGATTGGACTACAGGCAACAAATAGATAGAATAATCACTATTGACAGACATACAACAGATGTCATTGAATGTACATGTATAGCATATTTGTTAGAACCAATGGCAAATGATGGACAATAGTGCAAATAGTAATAGTGAACACTATGTCACTTGATTTCAAAAGGTAACTTATCTTCCATTACCATGTAATTATTAATTGATAATTGATGTAATATTGTATTTGTTTGCTCAAACAATAAATGTAATGAAATTACGCTCCGTAAAACACGATACCGCGCCATTATTCAAAAGCGTTTGGTTGGGTACGACGATTGACTTCGGTTTTTGTTCGCATGTTTGCTGAATACGACAGCTTTTCCTGGTTACGATAGTCCAAGTAATCACTAACTTCTTGAACCATTTGTAAAATTGTACAATAAATTTATAGCCTGTGTATTAGAGATGTTAACATCTCAATCGCTACCACTATTTTAAATCCGTATTGCATTTCAAATACGTATTTCTCTTATTTATTTTTTTCTCACAAATTAATGTATCCTATATCATAAATTACCACTTGCATTTGCATACAAATATTGCAATAATGAATACCTTACTCGACCAATTTAACATTAATAATATTTTTTTGCATAATTATCCTTTAGTATTATCCACACCAGCGTATTGCTAATTGTCAAAAATTTTTCAACAATCCGGCGTAACCTCTCAATCAAAAAATTATCTCATCAAAATTTTCTTGAAAATAATTATTGACTAAATAAATACTCAATAGCTGTACAATAATAACAATTAATTGAATTTATACCAAGTTTTGCTCTTATCCAAACTTTTATCAACCAATAGACTCATGAGAAACGCATACTCTTGGAAAACTTACAATTTGTTAATTACAAAAATAAAAGACGCAATAAAAAAACTTTTTCCATGTAGCAATTAGTCAAACTTATTCTTTACAAGCACAAAGCTCCTTGATTAATTACAAAATAGTTGCTATCACCTTCTC